CTGTGCATGTCCTGTCATTTCTTTGCTAATGCTAATACTAACTTGGTGAAAATTCACACACAGCGCGTGCTGCGTTTTTAGCTCTTCGCCCCCTGTAGACGCGCCGTCTAAGTAAGCTAGAGTCAAGGAGAAACAGCGAGTCCCAGAACAAGTTTGAGGCACAGGAAACAACCAGACGCGCAGCAGGGCGATCAGCAGGAAATCAGCAGGCGGTCAGTAGGCGATCAACCAGGCGACTCGCGTCACTGTATCATCAGCCGCCATGATGCACATGACCTTCTACTGGGGCGTGGAGGCCACCATCCTCTTCTCCTCCTGGCACACGCGTACGCTCCCGCAGTACTGCCTCGCTATCGCGCTTGTCGCGTTCGCCAGTATCGCGTACGAGGGCCTTAACTCTCTGCGCGTCAACGTGGCAGCGGGAAAGCTCGCGCGGGCGAGCGCTGCTACCATCGAATCCACGAGCACACCACTGTAAGAGCGTCTCGCAGTTTGTCCTCGCCACCCACTCATTTACCCTCAGTGACCCGTCAGGAAGAGCCTGACAGTGTTGAAGCTCTCATTAACGAGCTCTAACTTCTCCCATGTGATTTCCGTGTCGTTGATTTATGGCGTTTTGATTCAGCCGGTTACCATTGAGCCCCCTTAATTATTTATATTTTGAGACTTCAAAAAAGGGCTATCCCCCGCTTGTTCAAGTTCCCATAGATTGACCTTGCACTAAGATTCTCTTCCTTTCCCTCCCACTTCAGGCTTGCTGGAACCTCCGCTCCTCCAGCTCGGCTTTCCTGGGCAGACAAGCTACCTCTCTCCCTGCTCTACATTGCCACGTCTTCTCTGGCCTACCTCCTCATGCTAACCGCCATGTCCTTCAATGGAGGGATCTTCATTGCTATTGTTGTTGGGCTAGGTGTGGGCCATTTTATGTTTGGATTAAATAGGGCTAGTCTTGCATCTCAGGCCAATGCGGAGTCATGCTGTGCATAGTGATGTTGATGTTCATGATGTAAATGAAAGCACCAAATGATTGACTATGGCACACATTCAGGCATGCCTGCCAGCCAATTTTCTCAACGAAAAACCCTTTTCAGTATCAGGGCATTTAAAAAATGCTCCACGTAGACACTCAAATGTGCTCAGTATAGGGTGGGAACTATCAGGACATGTTCGTTCCAACTACTAGTGTCCCCATTTGATGTACTTAAATACCGTTCGAACGCATAAATATTTGTCAGCCAGACTGAAAACAGTCTTGAAAAACACTTGTGACAAGTTGAGGGATAGGATGAAAAATACTTTTGTATGTATTTTTTTCTTATATACAGAACACTGTATCTACTGTAACAGTAGTTTTGTCTCGCAGCAAGTCGTAGCTGTGGTGGTCCTCTCCCGATCAGGCGTCGTGGCATGTCGCACATGCGACCACGAAACACCCCAGCTGAAACATCTGTTTCACGAACCATGCCTGCCATCGACGGTGAGCTAATGGCCCTCCTCAACAATCGTTTAACATCCGACGGCTAATTCTTCATGCGACGCACGGAACGACTAGCAGGTCTTGTGTTCCAGAAGGAGGGAAATCTGACAATGCGACACCCTCTGCTGTTGTTCCAGAAGTGAAGCCTGCCGGGAGTTGGGTGGGAAGTCCTTGTTCCTCGCATTCACATTTGAGGGTCTTTCTTACTACTAGTCCTTCCACATTCTTGTATTGGAAGCCCTAGCACACACTATCAGTAGTAGATCAGGGCAGGGTGTTGTGTCGCTACGACATCCGTGCAGATTTTAACTTCCTCCCGTTACTTCAGCCGCATCCATGGCCGATCAATTGTCCGAGGATCAGATTGCGGAGTTTAAGGAAGCTTTCAGCTTATTCGACAAGGATGGAGATGGTGCGTGCGGGTTTCAGACATTGGAGAAGGATGCTATTTTTGGTCCAGAGTGACGACGGAGCAGAGTACGAACATGGTTTCCTTGTTAAGATCTCCCCTAAGATGTAATGTTTCGCATTTCTCACAGGTAGCATCACAACGAAGGAGCTCGGAACCGTCATGCGTTCGTTGGGACAGAATCCAACTGAGGCTGAGCTTCAAGACATGATCAACGAAGTCGATGCGGATGGTAACGGAACGATCGACTTTCCAGAGTTTTTGAACCTTATGGCGAGGAAAATGAAGGTAAGTGTGTTTCATTATCTTCTGAAAATGCATGATCAGGCTGTAGTGGAAGAAAATATTGACATATGTATCGTTTTCAATGCAGGACACCGATTCTGAGGAGGAATTGAAGGAGGCGTTTAAGGTGTTCGACAAGGACCAAAACGGATTTATCTCGGCGCAGGAGGTGCGTCTATGCTTGATTTCAGGCTTGTTCGTGTGTTTTCCCCCCTTCATTAAAAGCGCGTCGTCATCTCTTGCATGCCTTTTTTGCTTCTGAGCGTGCTTCTCTCTTGACCGTGAACGCCTCTTCATGCCTTGCATTTCCATTTCCTTTTATTTGCAGCTTCGGCACGTGATGACGAATTTGGGAGAGAAGTTGACAGACGAGGAGGTTGATGAGATGATTCGGGAGGCTGATGTGGATGGAGATGGACAAGTGAACTACGAGGAGTTTGTGAAAATGATGATGGCTAAGTAGGCTAGTATTTTAGTTGTTGTCAGAGCATGCTTTTCAGGTTATATTTGCAAGGTAGACCAACAGCGTATGTAGGACCCAGAATGAAAATGTCAAATGGTGCTTAGCTTACAGACTCAGTACTTATCGTGCCTCTAGCAAGGTGGAGGATGAGAGTCATTGCAACTAATGGGTATACTGGTAGTTCCATAATGTCAAGTGAATATGCAAATTGTAGTGATGTTGTCTAGTTCCATATGATACAGGCCACCTTATCTCCACTTTCAAAACCTCCACGAAACGGTAAATTTTGAGATTTGACTTCTTTGTGAAGGAAGCCTAAATTTGACAGTGAGTAAAGTAATCACAACTGATCACTTATCGAAGCCGTGACAGCGAGTGACATTTTGGGGGTTTCCTACTCTGTTCGAGGTCCCCTCTTCGACAAACTTGACCTAAGCCAACAGGGTCCTAGTGCTTTCTAGGTGCCGTCTCTAGCGCGGTTTGCTCATCCGTACTTTCGTTACGGTGGGACCACTAGAACCCGTGGTTTTATCTTGAAATGGCCGACCAGTTGTCTGAGGATCAGATTGCGGAGTTCAAGGAAGCCTTCAGCTTATTCGACAAAGATGGAGATGGTGCGTCGGCCAGATTTTGCCGGGGTGGTTGAGAGATGGCGTTACGAGTTATTAGCAAGCTTGAAGACGAATTTTTTCAGCATTCTAATGTCGTATGCCATAGTATCGAGCGAATGTTCCGCGTCTGTCATGGATTTTACCTTCTCATGTTGTTCTTGGTTTTCAGGCAGCATCACAACGAAGGAGCTTGGCACTGTCATGCGGTCGTTGGGACAGAATCCGACTGAAGCTGAGTTGCAAGATATGATTAATGAGGTTGACGCTGACGGGAACGGCACAATTGACTTCCCCGAGTTCCTGAACCTTATGGCGAGGAAAATGAAGGTCAGTGTTCAAGGCACTATTTTTAAGACTTTCCAGGCCGCTTTGTAACCTTCGCGTGCGATCTAACTCAGGATACCGATTCCGAAGAGGAGCTAAAGGAAGCGTTCAAGGTATTCGACAAAGACCAGAACGGGTTTATTTCGGCACAGGAGGTACGTGGACCCTGTGGATTTTTTTTTTCTCGGATTTCCTTTTTTTTTTCCCTAAAAATTGTTGGAGAAATCGTATCACTAAGAACCATACTCTTCATTTTGCAGCTTCGGCACGTAATGACGAATTTGGGAGAGAAATTGACAGATGAGGAGGTTGACGAAATGATTAGGGAAGCGGATGTGGATGGGGATGGCCAAGTTAATTATGAGGAGTTTGTAAAGATGATGATGGCAAAGTAGATGCCAGGTCTTCCTCCCCCCCTCCCCACCTACACACATCATTCTTCTCCCCTTCCTAGCCCTTCACCCGTTTTCCTCAAGCCCACCATCTCCAATCAGTGCTGTAAATTCGTTCCTTGGCGCATGCATACGCCCAAGCAGTTAATTCAGAGTATGGGCTCTCTGACAACGTCAGTCACAATGGCTGTCTGCACGCATTGAGAGATTCTGGTCCCTTTTTGCCTTGGACAGCACTGCATATGTCTGAGTTGGTGTGATTTATTATTCTAGAAGGGATCTATCCGACTCAGCCTGATTGGATTCTGCAAATCTATGTCGTATGGGGCACCGGACCTGCCTCTCGATTTTATTCTTGTTACGGTAGCGAAACAGGTACGGTAATGTATGGTAATATGCTGCTGCTCACATTTGTGACACTGCTGAACATTAATGATAGCTACTACCAGTATACACCCTCAACACAGGACAACTCCCGAGGTCATTGAATGCCATCCCTAGGATCACTGGTGAGGTCATTGAACGTCTCAATGGCCTTCTGAGCCAGCCTTGTAACTTCATAGTCCACCAATGCCTGAACGAGAGATTCAAGAGGGGACATGCACAGTTGAGGCGAGTTGAAGGGGACATGCACAGTTGAGGCGAGTTGAAGGGAACATGCAAGGGGAGAAAAGATCCGTTGTACGTCTAAATGGCATTCCGAACCAGCCTTGTGACCTCGTAGCCCACCATTTCCTGAATGAGAGAGATCTAATAGGGTACACAAGGAGTCAAACTCCACAGCTTCCTCAGCACATCCAAGTACACCTGGTAGCAGCACAGCACTGCACAGCACCGCACAGCATACCTCCATGTACGAGTCAAAGGTGACGTCTTTCCCCAGTATGTCCGAGTACACCTGATACCAGGCGCTCCCAGGCGCCCAGAACTCCTTGAAATCTCCCCCCAGCATGTAATGAGCCTCGACTGCTCACCACCGCACACCACCGCATACCACTGCATCCCACCACTTACCACTGCACACCACCACACAGCATACCTCCATGTACGAGTCGAAAGTAACATCCTTCCCCAGCATGTCCGAGTAGACTTGAAACCACGCAGTCCCCGGTGCCCATAAGTCCTTGAAATCTCCCAGCATCCGAACGTTGAACTTGTCTTTTAGGGGGTCGAAGAAACCCGGAGAACGCTCGTCCGTTGAAATGTAGAGGAATCTACCAGGCTGAACCAGCTCCAGTAGACGCTTGAGGAGACTGGCAGGGGGGATAGAGTGGGGGAGGGAATGGGAGAAGACTTGAAATTCCCCAGCATTCGAATGTTTAACTTGTTTTTTAGGGGGTTGAAGAAGCCTGGGGAATGCTCGTCCGTTGAAATGTAGAGGAATCTACCAGGCTGAATCGGCCGGGCTGAACCAGCTCTGGTAGACGCTTCAGGAGACTGGCAGGGAGATAGAGTGGGAGAGGGAATAGGGATAGGGGAAGCCTTGAAGCCTGGGGAACGCTCGTCTGTTGAGATGTAGACGAAGCGGCCGGGCTGAACCGGCTCCAGTAGACGCTTGAGCAGACTGGATGGGGGGCAGAGTGCGAAAGAAGAGTGTGAGAGAACGACACTGAGAATCCCGAGGAACGTTCGTCCATTAAGATGTAGAGAAACCGGCCGGGCTGAACCAGCTCCGGTAGACGCTTGATGACACTGGATGGGGGGATAGTGGAGAAGGGAACAGGAGGATTGAAGGCATTTCAGGGCATCAATAAAGCCCGGGGAACGTTCGTCCATTAAGATGTAGAGAAACCGGCCGGGCTGAACCAGCTCCGGTAGACGCTTGATGACACTGGATGGGGGGATAGTGGAGAAGGGAACAGGAGGATTGAAGGCATTTCAGGGCATCAATAAAGCCCGGGGAACGTTCGTCCATTAAGATGTAGAGAAACCGGCCGGGCTGAACCAGCTCCGGTAGACGCTTGATGACACTGGATGGGGGGATAGTGGAGAAGGGAACAGGAGGATTGAAGGCATTTCAGGGCATCAATAAAGCCCGAGGAACGTTCGTCCATTAAGATGTAGAGAAACCGGCCAGGGTGAACCAGCTCCGGTAGACGCTTGATGACACTGGATGGGGGGATAGTGGAGAAGGGAACAGGAGGATTGAAGGCATTTCAGGGCATCAATAAAGCCCGGGGAACGTTCGTCCATTAAGATGTAGAGGAACCGGCCAGGGTGAACCAGCTCCGGTAGACGCTTGATGAGACTGGATGGGCGAGTGGTGGAGATGGACGAGGGGAAGAAGGTACGGGCAGGTCTTTCAGGGGGTCGAAGAAGGCTGGGTTGAATTTTGAGGCGCCTCAAGAATCAACTTTCAGGGGTTCGAAGAAGGCTGGGGCATGGTTGCCTGGGTCTGGTAAGGTGTAGAGGAATCTACCAGGCTGAACGAGCTCTGGTGGACGCTTGGGGAGACTGGCAGGACACGCAACAGCAGAGGGGGCAGGCAGGAAGAGGAAGGGAGCAAAAGGTCTCTTCAGAGGGTTGAAAAGGGTTGAAAAGGCACACAGATCAGTATATATATCCCCTCTCCACACAGATCATGCAGTATATATATCCCCTCTCCACACAGATCATGCAGTATATATATATGCACTGATGCACAAGCAGACACGCATTACATCAAACATACCTGTCAGGCCGGGTGTCTTTGTCCAAATTCGGCCACCGTTTTGAATCCAAATTCGGCCATCGCTTCAAGCTTCACGCACACGCACATCCACACGATTGAAGAAGTGTTTTGAGACGTCTCAAAACACAAGCTGCACGCACACGCACATCCACACCCGACACATACCTGTGAGGCCGGGTGTGTCTTTGTCCAAATTCGGCCACCGTTTTGAATCCAAGACCTTGTCCCCCCGCCGCACATAACAGCAAGAGCACAGATATGCACATGCACAGGTGCACATTCGCAAGTGCACATACCTCTCAGGTCGCGTGTCTTTATCGAGGTTGGGCCATCGCTTCGAGTCCAAGATCTTGTCCCCTCCCCTCACATGCATTACAAATCATATCACATGCAGAGACACACATGCACATGCCCACACACATGCGCCGATAACATACCTGTCCGGCCGTGTGTCTTTGTCCAGATTGGGCCATCGTTTAGAGTCCAGGACTTTGTCTCCCCGCCGCACGTGCACTACATCGTAGTTGCTGTTGTTCATTTGGAGTGTAATGTTGGAAATCACCCACTGGAGCTCCTTCCGCATGGGCAGCAGAGACCAGTTGCGCGGGAGCGACTGTGGAAGGGGCAAGGGGACGAAGAAAGGAGGGGTTGAATGATAAGAGAGAAGAGGAGTGGATGGCAGACACAAGCGCAGAAAGCCCCTCATTTGTTGTCCTCTCAGGTAATGTTTTGAGAATTCTCAAAATATGGGAAAAGAGGGGTGGCAGAGGCATGAGCAGGCAAACCCCACCCAGACTCACCGCCGCCACCTCAGATTTGTCACACAAGGCGAGGTGACTTTTGAGTCGACTCAAAAGTCACCTAGTTCTACACCGTCCTTTCGGGTTGACTTTTGAGTCGACTCAAAAGTCACTTCACCAGAGGCACCGCCAGCCACCTCAGATTTGTCACACAAGGCGAACCCGAAATCTGTAGAAGAGCGGTGAAATCGCGGATGATCACTGTAACACGGTTACCACCATGGCTACCTAAGTGACTTTTGAGTCGACTCAAAAGTCACCTGGTTACCACCATGGCTACCCGAGACTCACCGCCCCCTCGGGTGCATCGCACGAGGCGAACCCGAAATCCGTAGAAGAGGTGAGATTCCGAATGATAACTGTGACATGCAGTCCTGGTTACCAACCATTGCCAGCAACTCACCGCCCCCTCGGGTGCATCGCACGAGGCGAACCCGAAATCCATAGAAGAGGTGAGATTCCGAATGATAACTGTGACATGCAGTCCTGGTTACCAACCATTGCCAGCAACTCACCGCCCCCTCGGGTGCATCACACGAGGCGAACCCAAAATCCGTAGAAGAGGTGAGATTCCGGATAATAAGCTGCACGTCCCTCCTCTCCCCCTCTGCCAGCGCCGCTGCTGCCACTTCCACCACCCATACCATGCTTACCATCTGTAACCACTCATCACCACTGCCAGCCACTCACCGCCCCCTCGGGTGCATCACACGAGGCGAACCCAAAATCCGTAGTGGAGGTGAGATTCCGAATGATAAGTTGCACGTCCCTCCTCTCCCCCTCTGCCAGCGCCGCTGCTGGCTCGAGCTTGGGAGCGATGAGAGTGGCGAGATGGGCGGATGGGGCTACTGTCCTGAAGCCCTGTAGTGGCGTGAAGGGGAGATGGCTGGGGAAAGGTGAGAAGGGAGAGGGGGGGAGGAAAGGACAAGGAATGAGATTCCGAATAATCAGTCATATGTCCCTCCTCTCCCCCTCTGCCAGCGCTGCTGCTGGCTCGAGCTTGGGAGCGATGAGAGTGGAGAGATGGGCAGACGGGGCTGCTGCCCTGAAGCCCTGTAGAGGGGTGAAGGGGAGATGGCTGGGGCAGGGGGAGGGGGGCAGATGGGGGAGATATGGGGAAGGGAGAAGAACGGAAGGGAGGAGAAGAGAGTTTGACAAAAGGAGTGGGATTCCGAATGATCAGCTGCAAGTCCCTCCTCTCACCCTCTGCCAGCGCCGCTGCTGGCTCGAGCTTGGGAGTGATGAGAGTGGAGAGATGGGCAGATGGGGCGGCTGCCCTGAAGCCCTGTAGTGGGGTGAAGGGCAGGTGGCTGGGGAAGGGGCGTGGGGAAATGAGGGGGACAAGGGAGACAGGGGAAACTGAGCTTGGGAGCGATGAGAGTGGAGAGATGAGCAGATGGGGCTGCTGCCCTGAAACCCTGTAGTGGCGTGAAGGGGAGGTGGCTGGGAGAAAGAAAGTGTGGGGGTTCAGCGGGCGAATGGGAGGAGGGAGGAAGGCAGAAGAGATAATTGAGACATTGAGAACATTGAGGGGGAAGGCATGACATAGGACTATAATTGGTCAGGTGCACGTCCCTCCTCTCCCTCCTCTCCCTCCTCTCCCTCCTCTCCCTCCTCTCCCTCCTCTCCCTCCTCTCCCCCTCTGACAGTGCTGCTGCTGGCAATGAGGGGGAAGGCATAGGACTATGATTGGTCAGCTGCACGTCCCTCCTCTCCCCCTCTGCCAGCGCTGCTGCTGGCTCGAGCTTAGGAGCGATGAGAGTGGGGAGATGAGCAGATGGGGCTGCTGCCCTGAAACCCTGTAGTGGCGTGAAGGGGAGGTGGCTGGGAGAAAGAAAGTGTGGGGGTTCAGCGGGCGAATGGGAGGAGGGAGGAAGGCAGAAGAGATAATTGAGACATTGAGAACATTGAGGGGGAAGGCATGACATAGGACTATAATTGGTCAGCTACACGTCCCTCCTCTCCCTCCTCTCCCCCTCTGACAGTGCTGCTGCTGGCAATGAGGGGGAAGGCATGACATAAGACTATAATTGATCAGCTGCACGTCCCTCCTGTCCCCCTCTGCCCCTCTGCCAGTGCTGCTGCTGGCGAATGGGAGGTAGATGGGGGAAGGGGGGGGAGAAAGAATGGGCCCGGGGCAAGGGGTAGGGAGCTTGGGAGCGATGAGAGTGGAGAGGTGGGCGGATGGGGCGGCTTCTCTGAAGCCCTTTAGTGGCGTAAACTGGGGAAAGGGGGGAGGAAGGAAGGGAGGGAGGTTGGGAGCAATGAGAGTGGAGAGATGGGCGGATGGGGCGGCTGCCCTGAAGCCCTGCAAGGGAGTGAATGGGAGATGGCTGGGAGAGGGGCAAGGGGAGGGAGCTTGGGAGTGATGAGAGTGGAGAGATGGGCCGATGGGGCGGCCGCTCTGAAGCCCTTTAGTGGCGTGAAGGGGAGGTGGCCTGGGCGAGGAATATACGTGTGACTTTTGAGAATATACGTGTGACTTTTGAGAATATACGTGTGACTTTTGAGAATATACGTGTGACTTTTGAGAATATACGTGTGACTTTTGAGAATTCTCAAAAGTCACACGAATGTAGTGGCGTGAAGGGGAGGTGGCCTGGGCGAGGAGTTGTGGAACGGGAGGGGGAGAGATGGGAGAGATGGGAGACATGGGAGAGATGGGAGAGATGCGGGCAGGGAGGGGGAAAGGACGAGTTTTGAGTCGACTCAAAACTCGGCAGGGAGGGGGAAAGGGCGGGGGGCTTGGAAGTTTGAAGCAACGCAAGTGGAGAGATGGGTGGGGGGATAGGGAGGGGAGTGGGGAGGGTGGATGGTGTGCCTGCCGCATGGTCGATGGCAGTCGACTAAAAAATCGACTCATCATACGCCGAGGGTGGACGGTGGTGCCTCCTGCATGGTCGATGGCAGTCGACTAAAAAATCGACACAACTGAGTGGATGAAAGATCGACACAACTGAGTGGATGAAAGATCGACACAACTGAGTGGATGAAAGATCGACACAACTGAGTGGATGAAAGATCGACACAACTGAGTGGATGAAAGATCGACACAACTGAGTGGATGAAAGATCGACACAACTGAGTGGATGAAAGATCGACACAACTGAGTGGATGAAAGATCGACACAACTGAGTGGATGAAAGATCGACACAACTGAGTGGATGAAAGATCGACACAACTGAGTGGATGAAAGATCGACACAACTGAGTGGATGAAAGATCGACACAACTGAGTGGATGAAAGATCGACTCATCACACTCGGAGGGTGGATGGTGGTGATGCGCGCCTCTTTATTCACCTCTCCACTACCCTCCCCTCTCCTCCCCTCCCCAAATCCCTCACCTCCCCTAACCTCTCCCACATCCCTCCCCTCCCCTTTCCCCGCCCACTTACCTACCTCCCCTTCCCCCCCCTTCTCTTCCCTCCCCTCCCGTCCCCTCCACTCCCCCTCCGCTCCTCTCCATATTCCCTCTTCCTTATCCTCACCCACCTCTCACCTTCCCTCCTCTCACCTCTTCGGCTCGTGCAGATCGAAGTAGGCATACAGCGGCCGCACCAGCCCATACCCCTCTGCACCGCTTCTTACCCACCCATGACCCACCCACACCATTCTGAATCCAGGCAGATGATACCTCTTTAGCTCGTGTAAGTCGAAGTAGGCATAGAGCGGCCGCACCAGCCCATACCCCTCGTTATTATGTGCCCCGTTTAAGCACACCATCGTATCCAGCACCAGCGTTCGATTTAAGAACGCCGCCTCAGACAGCCTACACACCAGGCTCCACTTAAAATGCCCCATCCCCATACACAGGTCGCCCGCCGTCGGAACGTAGAGGTATTTAGCCCCGGAGATTAAGTACTGCTCCTTAGTAACGCCCAGCCAGGAGGTCTCCCAGACTAGTGTTTTCTCGGCTGTCAGGTTTCCCGCCAAAAGTTGGGTAACCACTGGGGAATCTGACGTCAGCAGCGCGCCACTAGAGGAAGTAGCGCCGCTGCTTCCGCTGCTGCTGCTGCTGCTGCTGCTACCACTACTGTCCCCGCTACTGCCGCTGCTGCTCCCGCTGCTGCTGCTGCCGCTGCTGCTCCCTGCGTCGCCATTTCCCGTGCTAGTGGAGCCACTATCAGCGTTGGCGCTGCTGCCTTCACTGCTGCTACCGCCGCTGGGATTGCTGCTATTGGGGCTGCTGCTACTAGCGGGGGCAGTGTTTGTGGAGGGAGCAGCAGGTGACGCGCTCTGGCTGCCGTTAGATGGTCCCCCAGCGGACGGCTGTGATGAACCCTCAGGTCCGTTACCAGCACCATTGGTATTCGTGCCTGCCGCTTCTGCCGTCGCGCCGCTCGGATGGCTGGAGTCGGTTTTGGCGGGAAAAGAGACCGTTATCGAATCGGCGTTGTCGAAGACCGCGGACGGTGTCCAATCAGAGGACTGGGAAACAAGGACCGATAGGGAGATCAGCGCGACGAGGAAGAGGAGGTAGGCGGGCAATTGGCGGTTTCCGCGCGCAATGCGGATGGCGCGCTCCAGGTTTCCGCCGACGGCGGTCGCGTTGCGCTCGATGCTCCCCCGCGCCCCGCGCATGCGCTCGATGCTTCCGCGCAGCGCGCGCTCGAGGTTTCCGCGGATCGCGTTGTAGGAGGCGTGGTGATGGTGGTGGTACGAGCTCTCCTTCTTGCCGTCGGTTGTCGGTGAAGCCATGGCAAAAACTGATGCGAAAATTGGTATCGATTCCCCTGATATGTAGTAGCGAGTTTAACGGCGCAATTCGTGAAATTTGAGTCGACTCGAAGTGTACCTAGGCGTCCCGCAGCGTGAGCTAGGCTCAGTGAGCGCGCATCGATAAAGCGATTCGTCTCATTGCGTTACGTACATATTGGTCGCAGCCACCGGATGATCGTTCTCCTCCGACTCAATTGATCAAGATAACGAAAGCGGCCATTCGACGCGATTGAGGAGACGGCACTTGGGATCCTAGGTTATCGAGTCACAACTCAGTACCGGAACAAGAGCTACTACCAGCTACGTGACGCTTTACATAGGGCGGGAGTAAGCGAAGTTCTGGCATCTACGCTTAGCGACTGAAGTAGTTGAGTCAACCCGACATGTCGTGTCAAGGGGGGGGCAATATCTAGGGAAACAGCAAAATCCTGGGAGACGCAAACATCGAGGGAACCTCGATTGAAGCTTCCTCAGTTAGGTTGGATAATAACAGCAGAACACGAGGATGACAAAATAATACGAAGAACCAGAATGTAACTACGAAAAACATGTGCTCCAAATTTGCTGTAGTAAAGGGGGACACTGTGGGCTGGATTCGTGGGCCGCCGAGCCCAGCATGGAGGTACGGAATTTCCGCACTTCACGCGCGCTTCGCCCCCTGCTTCCATAACCTGGAGCCGTGGCCCGGACCTGCACCTTTGCTTAGACAAAGGCTGGTGCGAGCAGGATCATGCCACTCTTGGCTAAGCATTTCACTTGTGTAAATATTAACCCGCGTAGTTTTAGGACCCTTCTTTTTTCCGCTAAGTGCGAAACGCATCACAAAGGTCGAAAATTCCGAGCCACAATTCCCGCCTGATCTTGCCCCAAGCCTTGCCTAGACACCCGAAAGTTTAGGTGCGGAACCATCAAAGCCTTCACACCCATCCATACGTATGCAAGTGCTCACTGGCAGCATCTAGAACTGTATTTGTCCCTGCAACATCTAGAAATAGCTAGTTACTAGTGACCGACGACCTTGTGCTACGTAGTTCCTTGTTTGCCGTTAGTAGCCACTGCGTCCCTGATTCATTCTCCAGACTACACGCTGACAGTCCACGCTTCATATTCTTCCCATACCACGATTTATTCTCCTTGGTTCTTTCTGACCACGTCATAAAGCTGAT